TATTTTGAGGGGACAGCAAATTTACACTGTTATACAAGCTGTACACTCACTACTTTACATTGTAGCAAAGTGTCATTTCTTCAGTGTTGTCACATGAAAAGATACAATAAAATATTTACAAAAATGTGAGGGGTGTATCACTTCTGTGAGATACTATATATATATATATATATATATATATAAATAAAATCATTTGGAGGGTAAATTATGAAATAGCATGTCAGGTTTTTAAATGTTTTATTGAAAATGTACACCATGGAATCTTACTACAGTTAAATATTTCACAAATTTCTGGTATTACAGGGGTGGGGGTAATTGACATTAAGGGGAAAATATGGAAGATGACTAGAAAAATGTAGGCCAGTCTTGACACCCAAAATGTTTCACACAGAAAACAGTCACTTGTCAATAATGTAATTAATCATTAAAACATGTCTTGACATTGCTAAGCAAAATAGGTCCTTATAAATTATATGTACTGCACGTATGCATGACTGTCTGTACCTCATAACTGACGTATTTTAAATGAAATGACTGAAACTCCTTGACATATCTAAATACAATATTTGGCAAAATGGGAATTGAATGTAACTGCACATTGTACCTGGAATAAATACATGTAATAAAGTTGTAATAAAAAGAAAGTGTACATATGTCTAAGCAAAGAATAACTCCATATATAAACAAAAATATGTTCAGGGCATGCAAAAGAACAGAAGATAAAGAATATAAAAAGTGGCACTGAATGTGACCTACATGGTATTTCAATAGGTGTTATTATTCTTTAAGATTATATTTTAAATAAAGTGTATGACTATATTGGTGCGACTATTTACGACTTGAAATGTATAGGGCATTACAAAACATACAATACAAACCTCTCAGATTTTGCTTATATTTACCTCATGCTTTCAAATAAAGATTCTAATTAAATTACAATTAAACATCTCTTGCTTAACAGGAACTTTCGGGCCCATTTTCTTTGGATTTTCTCAAAATTCACAGCCAGCGTGTCAAAATGTTTTCAAGTCTTATTAAAGATAATCTTACTCCGCTTAATTCATACCCTAAATTATACATAGTGTTTGCAAATAAGTTAGTATCCGTTCGCTCCTCACAGTTAACACCATGTTAATGTTGATGAGGACATGCAGGTTCATTCACGAACACATGTATTCATGAAAGAAACAAAATTATTGTTTAATTGAACAGATTGAGACTGCAAGGCAATATCATAGACATAAAAAGCTTAACTGAAAAAACTCCAAAGCATTCCTTTAGTTCACAGCCTTTCTACTAGAGCTTTGGATCTGGTGTCACCAGCAAACGATGTCTGTAAAAATACTAATGAGGGACTGCTTAGCATGCCCTAATTAGGAAACAGAGCTAATATTTGTTGAAAAATACCATGTTAAGCCCACATAAGGCCATGTTCAACAGGGCACACAGCATGAAAGTTTAAAAATAAAATTAAAACAATTAAACAAAATATTCAAACAAGGCTGACGGAGTGAAAAAGACAAGAAGAGTGGATGCTTAGTTCTCGTGGAAGCTGCAATCCCCTCTTCCAACAGGTGGCCAAGACAGAGTTAAAAGAAGCTAGAAGAAGAGAGGAGACAAACGCAGATTAGAGAAAGTATCAGGAGGCCACTAAACTCAACAGCACCAGTGGGAAGACAAGTTTATATCAGTCAACTGGAAATGGGCACTCGGTTTTTTCTTTTGCCAGCCAAAAGCATGAAGCATTCGGAATGAGGGCGGATAGGAACACACCGTCCTTCTGCCTTGCTTCAAATGCATTGTGCATTTGCTTTTAAATGTGCATGGATTAGCTCATCTCGCATTCTCTATTTAAAACTGTGGTCAACATTAACCTAATCTAAAACTTAGTGAAGAATAAAACAGATTATCTGGGACAGTGATTATAATGATTGCATTTGCCCTCCCCACTTCTCTGAAAGAGGCACAAATTTGAAAGAAATAATTCACCACCCTAAATAATTTCTCTCCCTCATGTAGAAGAGTTTGTTTCTTCATCGGAACAGATTTGAAGAAATTTAGCATTGCATTGCATTACTAGCTCACCAATGGATTCTCTGAAGTGAATGGGTGAAAACTTTGATGAACTGGAGTGGTGTGGATTACTTGTGGATTATTGTGATCAGTCGTTTGAACTCTCATTCTGACGGCACCCATTCACTGCAGAGGATCCATTGGTGAGCAAGTGATGTAATGGCAACTTATCCAAATCTGTTCTGATGAAGAAACAAATTAATCTACATCCTGGATGGCCTGAAGTGATTAAAGGTTTAGCAAATTTAAATTTTTGGGTGAACTATTCCCTTTAAGCATATTAGTCACACAAAGCATCAAAAATCACACACCGCAAAAAAGCACAGCCTTAAGCAAAGGTTTTGGTAACACAATAAATACAAATGTTAGTAAAAGCTGCAGAAAGAGCCCAAAAATCAAAATACAAGAGGTGATTTATGAGAAACGCAGAGGGGCTTGGTCCACACTGCCTCCCCCTTAGCCTTGGGGTACCGGTTAACCAAAGAGTCTGGGCCTGGTCCCTTATCAAAGCCATACTACTCAGTGCAGAGCCAGGGATTACTGCAAAGGAAAGTAAATACACACACGGCAGTGAGCAGGGACACTGGAGGGAGCAAAAGCGTTAATAGATGATAAATATCAATCACATCAATACCACCTGATGAAAGACCAGCATCCAGATACAATACAAAACACTGTCATCCAGCATAGAACCAACAGAATCACTTTGATTTTGCTGAACAGTCCATCTTTAATCGTAGCTTTGAAAATATCATTGAGAAACTCAAAATTAACCTGTCATTTCCTGCAGTGACTCAGAAAACTTGCCTAGACTAAACTTCCTCATGCAAGGATCTTATAATGACGTTTATGTCATTTGACTTGTGGTGGTGGTCAAAACACTTCACTTGAGAATACAGGCCAAACCTTTAGAAAATAAATTCAGATGAATGATTAGTCTCATTATATACGCTCACCCTGAGTGCATAAACATTCAGTCACACTTTTATGAATAATGCAAATAATAAAATGTAGAATTAATTGTCTGATTTTCATACACAATGACTTTCCCACAGTTTAAAGGTTTATGAAAGGCCCTTTATTACTGATACAAATATTGATCCCTTTGCAATTGATATTTATTTATTAGAAAGTTTTTTGTTTTTTTTTGTGAAAAATAAAATGTCACAAAAATAAAGTTATAAAAGGTGCTTACATTTGGATGAGATGTGCCAAAGTTTTTCTAAACTAATACAAGCATAGCAATAACAGGTTTATAAAAAAAAACATTGAGGTATGGCTACAGATGACCAGACAGCATCTGTATAACATGCATGAGCTAAAATGAGACAAAACATCATGTTCAATTAGAAAACAGGGTAAAATGCCTTAAATCTCACTGCAAGACTGAACTGAAAGCAGCTCATACATCTTCCTATTATAACACTAATGACAATTATGGTACTACTAATAGAATTTGTCCCATTTTAACCAGTGTACTCAACTACTGCATACCCACAACAGTTGCCACACATATTAAAGTTGAATCAAACACTAGTCATGCAGAACAAAGCAATATCATCATGACATCATAACACAGCAAGTAAAACAAAGAAAAAAAACAATCGCATGTAAAGAAAAAAAAAAGAAAAAAAAGAAAAAAGAAAAAAAAGGAGTTAAACAATCTAAAGAAGGATTCCATTCACAGTTAATATCCCTCCTCAGCTGTGTTATGCATGAAACTGGGGGGACGGGATGGGACGGGATGGGAGAGAGGGGGGAGGGAACGGGAACAGCATTGCTCAGGAACACTGAGGAGGGAAGAGCTCATTCACAGCGGGCAGGGGGAGCACATTCTACAGGAATCCTGAACTGGAAACGAGAGAGAAGGAAGATTATTGTTCCCTACAGGTTACACACTGTTGTATACACATTAATTAAAAAACTATCAAAAATGTTAGTCGTGCATCTGTTAAAACATTTCAAAGCGGTTGCAGGGGGTGCATGTGGTAAGGCTTAGAATTGTTCTCTATTTGTACCAGATAAAATTCATTACATGGTCTCCTCTTTTGTGTTATGTACATGAACCGGATATCCCAACTTTAACAATAATGTGTTCTTTAACTATTGCTAAGATGTCTGTGGCAAGGGATGGCTCACTCAACAACAGCATTATTTTAAGGCCAAGTGGTGGACTAGTGTGGCCCAGCTGTAGGAGCTGAGCCATTAAAGGCTCTTTTGTGCAAGATCGTGGAAGAGCAGTGGAGTGCAAACAACAGCAGATTGTTATGGATTCAGATGGCAGACGGCTGCACATCACACAGAGAGAGCAATAAACTCTCGCCTGGCGCTGGTGACATAATATCCCCTGCTGCAGCCACAAAGATGTTCACATTACCAGCACTTTTAAGCATGAATAGGAAAAGCTGTAATTACTACTGCAGTGCTTCAACACCGCAATTACAGGATCAGTCTAACTGACCATCATCATTACATGTGTTTTTGTAATTTAGCTCCCTCGCGAATGAGGGCTTGTGCCTTAAGATATACTTTGAAAGCCTTACCAGCATAAGGTGTCTCATGCAGGACTGGGAGCAGGTGAGGAGTTAACTGGAAAACAGCATGGATGAGACGTACATGACACGTTCACAAACTAGACAAGACACCTTACATGCAACATCAAACAATGAATACTCTACATGCCCTGCCTTGCAAGAGCACTGAGGAAAACTGGACCATTTCTCTGGCTATCTTTGATATACACACAGGAATAAATAACACACACAGGAGCGTGGAGGAGAAAGTGGTACGAATCTGGACTGTTAATGTAAAGGCTGTAAGTTTGGATTTGGATTGGGACAATCTTGCACATTATGTACTGCAAAAATAAAAAGCATCTCCTTTATTGCATGACACCAACAATTAACAGTGTTTCCTCAGTATCTCATTGCTGTGAAAAGTGCTGCCTTGTGAGGACATACAAGAAGCTTAAGCGGGGGAAACAGTTAAAAACTGAAGAGATTGATATGAAAAAAAACAACCAAACAACAAAAACGTAAACCTTGTCAGTGCAAGTGTCTTCCTCCCATATAACACTCAGGTGAATGCAGCAAATCAGCTTGAATACACAACCATGAGTGATTACCAGCATTATTGAAGCAATTTATTTGAGCTCTGATTACTAGTACCCTTTTCAGATTGGATGTGCATGATCGCAATGCAATAAGTGAATGCAATATTGTATTGTTAATAATGTAATCATTTAATACCATGAAAACTAGAATTATAGAGCATATATAATTATAACGACGATATTGAACTGTCTAACATGTTATATTCATACAAGATTTCTACCACACACCAGACTGGGTAATGTAAAGAGATGTAGTGGATGTTTTATATTATAAATGCACAACAATATGAGTATCTTCACTACTGTTCCAAAGTTTGGGGTAGGATGTTGTTTAAATAATTCTCTTACGCTTACCAAGGATGCATTATTTAATTAAATACAGTAAAAACAGTATTAATGTGAAATATTATTACAATTTAAAATAAATTATCTATTTTCATATATCTAAAAATGAAAATTATTCTTGTGATGGCAAAGCTGAATTTTCAGCAGCCATTACTTCAGTCCTCAGAGTTGACAAGAAAATCTTTATAATATGCAAATGTGGTTCTCAAGAAACATTCATTATTTTGAGTGTTGAAAAGTTATGCTGTTTAATATATTTTGTGGAAAATGTGATTTTTTTTTTTTAAAGGCATTTCTTTTAAACAAACCTAATCTAAATTTAACATCTAATTTAATGCATCTTTGCTGAATAAAAATATTTTCTTAAAAAAAAAAAAAAAATCGTAAAAACTTTTGAACAGTAGTGTATATACTCAAACTAGAACTTTAATTTTCACATCACTGCACTGTCAACTCCATTACTATTATTCATTATCTAAATTTAACGTTCCTTGCAATATTACTTGAGCGTTCAGTGAAATGCACACACACGTACAGACGTTCACACATGTTCTCCTGCATCGTGATCTTCTGGTATCTCGGGAAGGGAAGGTTGCGAGGGTTAGGAACCATGTAGAGGTCAATACTTACTTTTTCCTCTCTTTATCCTTCTTGAGTGTGGCGGAGCTCCCTGCCTGCAGGGTCTGGGCCTGCAGCAGCTCAGCAGCCGTCTTCTTCTGCTTGAAGCCGTTTAGCTCATCATCAAGAGCCTTCTTCTTGTCCTCTAGTTTCTTCTTCTCATCCTGGTGAAGCTTCTTGAGACGGTCAAACTTTTCATGAAGCTGTGAAGTGAACACCACAGAGTCAGTATATGTTACTAAACACACAAAGCTACTGTAAAATAGTTCAATTTAGAGAAGTAACCACTGACTCTTTTTTTTTTTAAATGTTTGGATGCATTTGATCGTTTAATCCAGACCAGCTATACAGCTACTACAGTATATGTACATACCATGTACTGCATGAGCTGTGGATAACACTTTGAATACATTTGTTACAAAAGTGCTTTAATTACGGTCTTCAAAACATTTTTTATAAATAAATCCCAAACCTCCTTTTCTGCCTCTTTCAGCTCTGCCTCCTTCTCTTTGACTCTCTGGACAAACATCTGCCTCATCTCCTCCTCTTTCTTCTGCAGCTCACCCATGAACTCATTCCTCTTGGCCTCGTATGTTTCCTGGAGGCTGAACACAACAAACCACACACAAAAGATTGTTTTAAAGGGATAGTTCACCTAAAATGAATTAAACCGCTGAGATTAAGCCACTCAGTTCATATGGATTTGCTTCACAATGCCTTTTTAATCTTCTTGGATCTTTTCGGGGTTTTTTTGGTTACCTGGACTTTCAATGAAGGGTCTCTCTAAAATGATCTTAATTTGTTTTGAAGATGAACCAAAGTCTTATAGGTTTGGAATGACTTGAGGGTGCGCATATAAGTGAACTATCCCTTTTACCATTACATTTACCCTGCCTGTAAATGCAGACTATAAATCTTTATGTCATAGGTTGTGGTGGAGAACTTTTTCCAGATCATTCAGTGCGATTGTGACACTCTTCACCTGAAGGGTTTGCTGTCAGGGTCTGTGTCTTTGAAACCCATCTCCTCCAGCTTGCAGCGGCGGTATAGCTCATAGTGGCGAGTGTGAGTCTGCTCTCGCAGGTCCTCCATGTTGACCCTGATCAGCATTTCTCTCAGCTTCACGAAATCACAGTGATTCTCATTCTCCACTGGAAAACACAAAACACATCATGTCCGATGGAAAATTACCACCAATGACCGCCACAGTGATACAGGCACAAGAAAAGAGAAGGGAATAACTTCCTCCTGGACATGCCATACACATTACTTACTACATTACATTCAAGGTTGGAGTTAGTCTAAGAGTTAAAGATCTGGGTAGTTAATGGAAAAGATGACATGACACTATCTTAAGTAACAGTGGTACAACAATGTATTTTAAGCATGCGTTTAATTCTTATAGATGCATACAAGCTGTTTTGTATGTCATTGTGTAATTGAGAGACTTTTCTGAATATCTGAAAAAAAAAAAAATCTTGTAAAGACAGTGATAAAAAAAAAAGAAAGAAATGGCTTAAGAAATGGTGACCATTTACATAACCTAACATAGGCAGTTTTAAAGTGTCTAATACACTTTTTAAAATACACTTAAAATGTTAATTTTAACATCTTGAGGTTACAAAAAATGTGACTTCTGATAGCATTATTCCATTTCATACCACTGATACAAGGACATGACCTCTTTTAACAGTCAGTTTGTATAACTCTGACCAGCTGTGATCTAGTATTGTTAGCACGAACAACATTCCCTGCAGCTGTTATTGTAATAGTATAAACACAGATTTTTTACATTTGATGAAGAAATTGTGAGTGGTGCTTGTCTGTGCAAAAGTTCATAGGATTTTTACCAGCTCACTAGCTGATATACATTTGCATACAAATGCATCCCATTCTACGTGGTTTTAATCCACGTAACTTTGACCTTTAATCAAGTAAACTATGTGCCATAAATCACGAGTAAACACTTGACACACAGCAGCAGTGATGCATGAAATCACACACATCACATATATCCATATTTTCCTCAGTCATGTCAGCCTTCCATCAGGCTAAATTAAGTAACAGCACATGAGCTGCCCTGTGGCTTCATGCGCTGATTAGAGAGAGTGAGAGAGATTCAGAGTGATGTCACAGACAGCCTGAGGCCAGTCAGAGCACTGCTGCTATAATGTTACGCATCAAATCACTGCATGCATACCACACGTTAACGAAGACTGACAGGACAAATTGTGAATGAAGTGAGCTGGATTTGTACAGCTTACAGAACATGACAAATTATCATCATTGTACTGTAAATCCTCTTTTTCATTTAAGACAAAAAGACACTGCAATATGTGTATGTACTTTAACATTCTTTAACATTGACAGTAATAATAAATGTTTATTGAGCAGCAAATCAGCATATTAGAATAATTTCTGAAGGATCATGTGACAAGAATAATGGCTGCTGAAAAGCTTTGCCATCACAGGAATAAATTATGTTTTAAAATATATTTACATAGAATACAGTTTGGGATACGCTGCACTAAGGGATTGTGTTTGTGGTGCCATCAACCAATCACTGCTGTACTGACGTAATTTTCCTGTTGCTCCACAGTGATTAGTCACAAGGGAATTACAGGTCAGTTTCTCATTCTGACAGCCCTAATACATTAGCATTCTGCCCTGCTGTGAAAAAAAATGCAAGAGAGAAAGATGATGGTGTGTTGAAAGGGAGTGTCCAGGATAGGCGCTGCAAAAAGGGAGGGATGGGATGGGTTTGGATGTCCTGAACAAAGAGGCCAGGGCCAAACAGAGGGAAGAGCTTAGTGTCATTTCCTCTAGAAGACGTGACCAGCACTTACCCTGGACGGTTCCCCAAGGGTACTGGCGTGCTCGCACCATCTTGTTCCCAATCTTCACTTCCTCAGTGCTTCCCACCACTGCAAAAGGCAAATGACCCTGCAGAGCACAAAAAAAAAACCCACAAACAAATAATTTAGCAGAAATACTCTATTTTAAGTTCAGACAGTAACAGACTTGATTATGCAACATTTAAATCCATTTCATTAACAAATACATGCTGTTCTGTGTAACTTTCTAGAATCCTGAAAAAAAATGTATCACGGGTTACCTAAAAATATTAAGCAGCTCAACGGTTTTCAACATTGATAATAAAAAAAAATCTTGAGCACCAAATCAGCATATTAGAATGATTTCTGAAGGATAATGTGACATTAAAGACTGGAGTAATGGCTGCTGAAAACTCAGCTTTCTAAAGATTTCTAAACAGTAGTTTAACTAAATACATTCTTCTGTCAATCAGTATGGTTCTAAGAGAGCAATAACAGAGGAATAACACAGCATCCACCTCCATACTTAAGTAGTACTACATCTCATCTCACAGTGGCGAAACCCTCATAAAGAAATTACCTTGTTAAGATAACATTTACTAAACAAGAATGGCCTTTAAAACCACTGAGAAAAACATATGAGGGCACATCCCACTTGAAATGAGTGGGAAGGGACCTGAGGTCAGCTATCTTTGTTTTCAGTGGTTAACCAGTACTGGAAGACCTCCACAGCAACCCCGCAGGCACAGACTGTTTGGTGAACTGACATTCATTCATTCAGCCTGCTCTATACGAGTGTGTTGTTGTGAGTCCACTGAAGAAGAATGCCTCTCCTTTTGTGGTGTCATTTCCTGTGAGCAAACACAAGCAGGAAAGCTGGACACCATATGGACTCTTTCTCACTTAAACTGTTGAACTGTGATGTGAAATGAGAACTGGACAAGCGCTGAAGTATAAAATATGGCTGTGTTTTCTCCAAGCAAAACAGGACATAGTACATTTATGATTGATTCTATGTAAAAGGATTTCAAGTGGAAGAGGAATGCATCATTCTTAATCTTATTTCTGTAATCAAATAATACAAAATACTGTAAGTACGTTTTGTTCTCTTATATAGCACATAGTAACTAGATTTTAGAAGTAGAAACACAAAGGCAAAACCTTTTCTCAACTATCTGCACAATTTTAGGTATCACTCATATCAGAAACACATACAATGTGGGATGAGTTACACACCAAAGCTTACTACTTCAGGGTTAGGAGCCTGTTTTTTATATAAGCAATATTAATAATTATTACTCCATTCACATTAAAAGAACATCATGTTTAGTGCATGTAACATCAGTAACTGAACTTAAACCAAAAATCACATTTTCATCTTCCTGAAAACCAAAAACAAGTTTATTTAATAATCGATAAATTAATCAAATCATTTCATGTTTCTACTCCAATTTTATTTGTTGTGAAATTTAAATGATTTATTCAAGTAGCCTATACGTTAAATAATAAAGACATAGTGAAATAATGAAAGATATTAAAAAAAAGAATGAAAATAAAATGAGTATGTAATACAATGCATACATTTATTAAAATTCTCCTTCCTAAAGTAATTTTTTCCAGCTGACAAGTATTTTGGACATTGACTGTTTTTTTCTGAGGCAAGTTGTTTTATTTTATTGACATTTTCCTATGGTTTAAACAATTATTGAGTAATGTATCCATGTTGTGTGAACACGTAAAACACAGACACAGTCAAAGGGTGTCATCGAAGAAGCTCTAATTAAATTACACCTTTTTGCTCAATGATTTTGACCCTTCAAAACGGTTTCGGCTGAAAACAAATTTTTTTTACTTACATTCATAGTTGAGTTGATCTCTGCCACAGTCTCATCGTCAGTGGGAAACTGGTATATCTGGACGCCATTGCTCACCAACTCACTTGTGATCTTAATTTTGAACTTAGCAAGTTCACTCTTTGAGATGGCATCTGATTTGGCGATGATAGGGATGATATTCACCTGTACATAAAGAGAAAGACTTTTTGTAGGCATTTGGGAATAATCAGTAATCGCAAATTAAATCAATTTATATACACATGAATTAAGATGCCAATTAAAGTGCACATAAAAACCCAAACAGCTCTAGTGAGTAAATATTTCCCTTTCAGACAGCTAACTTTCAACCACTCAGGCAGTAAATTACTAAATACAGATGTAAGCAACTCAAAGCAACCTCAGAACATTTGGCTAAGTCCAGATAAATATAGATACTCGGCTTCTCTCCTCTTTTATGCCTGAGCAAACTGATTAAACGGCACACAGAGTGCTGAAAAAGACTGCATTTACTTTATGTGCAGAGGCTGCTGCAGACACATGTATCTGCACAAACAGACATCTCTTTTTACATTTTTAATTAGGAGCAGCTAATGCAATTAAAATTAACTCCATAGAATGCTGTGAAAGCTTATATAAGCTCAACATGCTCGCATCTGAATGTACCTCAGCTATTTGATATTCACTTTGAAACCAATTCAGAGAGGACATTTAAAGAGGTAGTTCAGTTGGAGAACCTCTGTCCCCATTCACTTTCATTATACATTGTATATAAAAAATGGCCTGGATATTCTTTAAAAATTTGTTTGTGTTCCACAAAAGAAAGACAGTTTTGGAACAACTTGAAGGATTTTTTGGATGAATTATTCCTTTAATCTCAGGTCTCGTGGGGGATATAAACTACCAATGCAGGATAAGTGCCAACCATGCTAATGGGGGGATAATCAAACACCCCTCCTCCACAGCTCCACTCATGACTCTCACACACACACACACACACACACACACACACACACACATACACATACACACACACACACACACACACACCGGAAATCCTGTATAATTCAACCAATCCGACGACAACTTCGAAACTCCTGAAGTGTTTCCACTTTTGTGTGCCATAAGCATCAGATGTTTAGCCAACGGTCCGTAGGCATGACGTCTGAGGCTGAGACTAGGTGGGGAGGGGCGGTTATAATCAAACACCTCTCTCTAACACACAAGTGCACATATGGAGTGCTCTGATCCCACTCACTCAATTTTTACACTCCTGCCTCCCACACCACCATCTAAATACTATTCTCAGTAGCCTGGCCACTAGCTTTACACTTTGTCTGTTTCTTGTAATTTACTACTGATGAATTGTGAGGTTCACACAGGCACTTTAAATAAAGGTTTAGCCACAGTGTGAGTACACAGGCATCTCTTCTCAAGCATACGAGGCAACTGTTAGTCTCAGCTTCAGATCTAAAAGAGCATCTTTGTTCAGGGAGTCTGTGCACCACAGAGAGAGATGAAAGAGAATGCAGTATTACACAGCTGACCTTCACTGACTCCATCTACACAGCTCCAATTACATTAAACATAGTTTAGCCATCAGCTGAATGCTTAATAAACCACATCAACCATTCTGCACAGTGAAACAGTAAATAATGCTAAGCCACATATATGGAGCAGACGTTACTGTTATTATTAGTTAAATTATAGTTGTATTTGCTAGAATTAAAACAAATTTATAAATTACAGTCATGAAGTAGTGTATTTTTGATTAAAATACTGCATCGATGAAGATATTTCTACCGCTGACCGTATCATCATACTAGTCAAACTTAGGTGTGATCAAACATTTTTTTTAAATAAAAAGCATCACTAACCTTACTGTCCAACTTCTTCATAGTAACCAGGTCAAGGGACTTTAGCGAGTGTCCAGTGGGAGCAATGAAATACAGACAGGCATGGATCCGTGTATCATGATAACTGTGTAGGGTGCGTTTAATCTTCAGTTCCTCCTGAAGGTATGCTTCAAACTGAGCATCGATGAACTCCACAATAGATTTGTAACTGCAAGTTGAACAATGAAAGAAGTTTAAATAATTACTTGCGGCCAAAAAAACACACAAATTTAACACTCACACTTAAGTAAGATTAGTGTTAATGTACAAAGAGTTTAAAGCTTCAGACTTATGAATGAATGGATGAATGAATGATGCATTTATATAGCGCTTTATTGTGTATTGTTGTACACCCAAAGCGCTTTACAATCATATGGGGCGTCTCTCCTCAACCACCACCAGTGTGCAGCATCCACTTGGATGATGCGACGGCAGCCACAGGACAGCGGCGCCAGTGCGCTCACCACACACCAGCTACAGGTGGAGAGGAGAGAGAGTCATAGAGCCAATCAAGTGGTTGGGGATTATTAGGAGGCCATGATTGACAAAGGCCAGGGGGGCAATTTGGCCAGGACAGATTGTAATAAAACTCTATGAGCTTTGAGGGGAAAAGGTACTGGTTCAGGCATCTATAAATAGTTGGATAGCTCAAGACTCATAAAAGCGCATCTGCAGGCAAAATAAAGCTTGTCACAACCATTCAGCTTAATAACATGCTGTTTCAGTCAAATATGAGCGCCATGAAAATCCGTTATAACTGGCACTTTCTTGGCCTACGGCATCAGAAACCTGAAAGTGGGGTTATATCTGGTTTCCGGACACCATCCAACCTTTATATTATAATGAGCTCTGCACACAAATGTGTCGCATGACAGAGATCAAGAAAAGCAGGAACAACAGAATCATATCAAACATCAAAGACTCTGAAGTCCCAAAATAACCAAGGGCATCAGAGGGTAGCGAATCCTCTGTGGAATCTTTTAATTGATCAGTAAAAAGTCATTTATTGTTGTGCAATTCCAAAAAAAAAAAAAAAAAAATGTTCTTTGCAGTCATGACTAATGACAAATATAGCTGACCTTAGTTTCTCATCTGAGGTTTATTATCTATTATGAAACATATCAGGCTGAGTTTAATATAATAATAATAAATTATGATTATAATAAAATATTTCACACACATTGACAATTAAATCCAACAACAAATTTCCATGCATTATTAAAGGGATAGTTCACCCAAAAACAAAAATTTTGTGAATTGTCAAGGATAGGCATGGGCCGGTATGAGATTTTGACGGTATGATAACCTTAAGCAAAAATATCACGGTTTCACTGTATCACGGTATTGTTGTTACAGCTCTAAAATGTGCTCATTTTAAATGTCTAGGTAAAAAAAAAAATAAAAATTAACAATATATTTTGAGCAACATACAGAATATTTGGAACAGTAGTATTTGTTTATTTTTTCTTTGATTTGTTTCTGAAATGTGGGCTGTCCTGCAGCTTTTGATGTGGATGGCTGATTTGCTGCTAGAGCAACTGCTGCCCTAAAAAGAAGAAAAATAAAGACTGACATCTTTATTTAACCTAAATCTGTAATTACAGTTATTTAAGAATATTTGGAACAGTAGTATTTGTTTATTTTTTTCTTTGATTTGTTTCTGAAATGTGGGCTGTCCTGCAGCTTTTGATGTGGATGGTTGGTTTGCCCATAGAGCTACTGCTGCCCTAAAAAGAAGAAAAATAAAGACTGACATCTTTATTTAACCTAAATAACCTAAATCAGTTATTTAATTTGTTATAATTCATAAACATATCATTTATATAATTTCATATCATTTATTTATATAATTTCATATACATAATTTGATTTAATAATAACCCAATTTGTAGCAAAAACAGAATGTTCTGACTAGCTTTGTGAAATTATACTACATGCCTGAACGAAACAAACAGCAGAAGCTCTGAATGGGACGCAGATTCA